TCAAAGGAAGTATAAACATGAAGTTCTACCTTATCCTGCAGATTATCAACATTGAATTAAACGCACTTGGTTGTTGAATTGGCATTCCAGATTATCTGCGTCTGACGACTATGTCCCCACCTCAGCGTGTTACCTTGTGGATGAATCCAGGGTCCGGCTTCTCTGTATCTGCCAGACGCTGGGGGAGATCGATGCTAAAGGGGTGCTCAGCAGAGAGAGCTCAGGGAAGCGTCGTCACCCTCAGCAGCAGCCTCCTGACATTGCCCCCACCAGAGCTGTCACTGTTGGGCTGCCTCCTACGCAAGCATCATGAACACAGCTGGACCCCAGCAACGCCCTCGCCTTTGCAGAGGGCTGAATTTAGTCCTTTATGCCCATGACTTTGTTGCTCTATAACAATGCTGCATAATCTAGAGAAAGAATGTCTTCACGTCAGTATGTGTGTGGTTTCCTTGGCTGTCCCCCAGAGAAGGAATTCTCCCACTCTCCCCAGTGCTGGACCCCTCAACTGCCACACAGAAACGAGCCTGGAGCTGCACGTGCAAAGCCTCCCTGTTGTTTTGTTTGGTTTGAGGTCTGCAAAAGTGACCCCCCTTGTCCTTCTGCGATGGGTAGCCTGGAAACAAACCCAAAGTCAGGGAAAGCCCAGGGTGCACAACACGTCCATGAAGAATTTCCTGAAAGGTTTGCTATGAAAATATTTAAAATACCATTCCTATACATTTAGTTTCACTTAAAGGGGAAACTAAAAAAGTTTGAAACAGAAAGGAATCATAAGACAACACAAAACCCTAAGGAAAAAAAAAAAAGTAAAATGAAAATGCTTGCAGAGGTCTTACCTTAGCTCACAGGAGAAGGGCCCACTGCATGCACTGGAAATATTATTAACACATATGTTCTGCAGTCCATACAGTTAATCGCAAACATGTGTGGTATTTAGTTCAGCTCTGTGGCAGGAAATACCATTTGTAAAATATTAAACCCCGGCAAAACCTGTCCATGCCTTCCAATATCATTTGTGCTGCTTCTAGCTGAGCTCCCCAGCCCCACTCCGCCCCTGGGGTACTTAACCTCCACTTTTCCAAAAGGATGAATTTGGTTCCCAGCTATTATTTTAACCTTATTCTAATAATCTGCTTGTTTCCTAAATTTGGAGGGTAGTAGAGACAGATACCAACTCGAACTGGCTAGTCCCGAGAGATATGAACAAAGAAGAGATTGAAGGCCAGGCAGGTATTCTGACTTCAGAATCTTATTCTTCTTACCATGACAGCTTTTTGTGTGATGTTTTTATTTTTTTGTTTGTTTGTTTTTGTTTTGTTTTGTTTTTTCAGCTAAATAAGTAAGAATGCATTGGCCACAGCAAAAGCACATTTAGGTGGGAAGTTTCTTAAAGCTGGGGACAGTGAAACAAGGAAGGGCTTAGCATAGAAGAAGCAACAAGAGAGCCTAGGTTGGGCTGCTTTAGCTCACTGGGGAGTCAGAGAAAAAGGGAGCCTCGGAGACATGGTCAGGGGATTCGTCCAGGAGGAGTTGCCGCCGCCCATTGCTCCCCTGGTTGCAAATCTCCTGGGTCCCTTGGAGTTTAGAGGTGGCGTGCCTGAGGGAGGAGGAATGGCATGGGTGTGCTGAGGGAGAGTGCACCACCATGACAGCTGTTGTTTTTTAAAGATATTTTTATTGCTTTCAGAGAAGGGAGAGGTAGAAACATCAATGATGAGAGAGAATCATTGATTGGCTGCCTCCTGCATGCCCCTCACTGGGGATAGAGCCTGCAACCCGAGCATGTGCCCTGACCAGGAATTGAACCACAATGTCCTGGTTTATAAGTTGACGCATAACCATTGAGGCAGACTGGCTGAGCACCACCATGACAGTCTTATGGAGTATCAACGTTCATGTCACTGTCATAGATGCTATGGAAATTTGTTAAACAGAGATCTATAGGTCTCAGTTTCTTCATCTGTAAAATGGTGGGATGTTTCTTAAAGCTAGGGACTGACACAAGGAAGAGCTTGGCATCTTATATAAATTGTCTCATAATAGTAGTTTTCCTTCCTCTTTCTCTCCCTCTTATTTCTCCTCTCTCCCATTCCAGCCTTCCTTTCTCTGGCCAGCAAGAAAGTAAAGAGCCCAGATCCTGGAGTTGGCATTGGCATCGGGTCAACTTGTTACAAATCCTTTTCCAGAACTGTCTCCATTCTGCCTGGCACATGACCATGCCTCTACCCTGCCCTCCAGATGTGATCTGTGCCTGGATCCATACTCAGGGCTTCTCCTTGAAGACAGCATCTCCCAAAGTAGAGAAAAGTTAATAGTGTGGGGACAAGACCCAGGGCCAAGGGCATTTATGGGTCTCTTCATGGCAATCCTTCCCAAAGCCTATGGTTGACATGAAAACCTGGGCCATGCTTGTCACCCCTAACCCCGACTCAGCATCAGTCTATACCATTAGTTCTCAACTGGAGTGATTTCACTCCCAGGACACATTGACAGTATTTGGAGACATGCTTAGTGATCTCAACTGGGGGTAGGGCATGCTACTGGCCTCTAGTGGGTAGAGGCCAGGAATGCTGCTAAACATCCTACAACACACAAGATGGTCCCCACAACAAAGGATTATTCAGCCCAAAATATCTCTAACACTGAAGAGAAATCCTGCTCTCTGGTGAGGAGGTCAGTGAACTGAGTGTGCCAAGAAGGTTGTCCGTCCACATGTGTGTGTCTACTTTGTAGATAAGGAATTGGAGGCACAAGTTTGGGGATTTGCTTAAGGTGGCACACTCAAAAAAAGGTGCTGTCAGAATCGAACCCTGTCTCGGGCCCAAATCTCATGCTCTTCCTACTAAACCATAATGACTACCAGGGTGGGAATTAGAACAGGAGAGAGCTCAGACAAAGGAATATTGTAAAAGATTTGACAGGACTTGGACACCAAAAGCGATCTAGAAAACACGGGGAAGGAGGAGTCTGGCACTTAGAAAAGCAGCTAGAGTGATACCATTGTAATGACCTGGTTATTATTTAACAAGGAAGGAGTAAAGGGAAGACTAGACACTATAGACATGCGATTTATCGATTTGCTAGAAAGCTGAAATTTAACACTCTCCAAGTCTGTTCCCTGCTGACCAATGGAGTAAGGGACTGGGCCGAGGCAGCTGGACCCACGCCCAGTAAGGTCTGAAGGGGAAGGTGCTGACTTGTCAGCCACACCTGGGAATGAGTCAGTGGACAGAATAGGTGTGGCCACTGCAAAGTCTAAATATTTGAACTCCTAGACAAAGGGAGTTCACTCTCTTGACTCCTGGCCCTCTAGTTCTCTTGGGAATCTTGTCACAGGGGGCGCATTACCCTGCCTTTGCCCATGTGGCCAACAAGCCATGTGGGATCCACACAATGGGCTAATGGACTTTGCCTGATGCTGAATTGGACCCAGCTGCAACATGGAACGAGACTCTGGCCCTGCTCCTAACTTTGCCGAATCCACAGCTGCTCCTTTTCTAAGAGACTGGATTAAGGGGCATGGGCCTTTTAAACCCAAGGAACGTAACTCCAAATAGTCTTTTACCTCATCTCACTCTCCCATGGGGGGGCCTCTAAACATGCTTATTTCAGCAGCATCCCAAGAACCCCTCTCCCATGAGCAACGAGGAAATGTGGCCCACTCATTTCTCCAGTAACCATAGGAGGCAGGAAGAGGAGCAGGTCAATCACAAATTGGTCAGGTCTGAGGTCCATCCCAGTGGAAATATCTAGCAGAGAGCTAAAACACAAGACTGTACCAGGAGAGGAAACCAGAGGCCACACACATAGAGCTGGGGGGCTTTCTCCACTAGGGGAAAGGTGAATGCCGGAGAGAATAAGAGAGGCCACAGGGCACCAAAGCGAAGGACGCTATCATCTTATAGGAAGAGGAATGAAAAAGGAGAAAGTAAGTCACACAGAAAAGGCCAAGGGAAACCTAGGAGGTGCAGACACACACACACACACACACACACACACCACCGCCAAGGCAAGAAGGAGTGTTCCTATGAGCCCTTGAAGAGCTGGGGAGGGTAGAGACAGATGACCTCTGGGTTGAGTGATTAGGTCAACAGTGGTAGGGTTGGGGGCAACTTCAGCAGAAGGTGGGCATGAAGCATGGCTGCCAGTCTGGAAGCCAAGGAGCAGGGATGCTGGGGCTCATGGATGGACAGAGGCCAGGCTCAGCTGTCCATGTCTCAGCAACTCCATCCCTATACCCTCCCTCACCCTCCCTCCCCAGTTTTGGGGTTTCTGCTGCTCTGGGACTGAGTTGTTTGCTGGTCGACTGGTTTCTGGCAGCCCTAGGAACAGCCTACCGCTTTGTACCCTACCTACCTTTTGGTCTCAGGAACACAGAAGGGCCCCAGGGCTTCCCACGCTCCAAAACATCCAGCCCACCCCCACAGGGGAAGGAGGCAGACAAGTGAGCCTTCGTGCAGACTGAGGGCCTGAAACAAGGCCTGCTTTCAGGGCAGCCTTCTGGTATTTATATTGCCGTGGGTTCTCCAATGGGCAGAGCAAGGCTCTCAGAGATGGAGATGAGAAGCGGCATTATCTCCTGAGGGGCCCCCAAGGCTGCACTGGTGTGTGGCTCCGTGGTTATTAGGTGGCAGCTCCTGGATTTTGGTTCTGAATTCTTAGAGGAAACCATGAAAAAGATGAGGGATAGTTAGCTCAAGGGGCTTGGTGCAGATCACACATCTTAAATATGCAAACCTCTTTCCCCTCTGCCTCTACCTGCTGGCCCAGGGTCCCCCTGGAGATAAGCAGAAAGTCCTAGAAGGTTAAAGAACTAGAAAGATCTCTCTCTGGATTTAAATATTTAGTGAGGGGAAAACCAAAATTGGCCACTTTGCTATGAAAATGTTTCAAGTAATTTATCTTAATTACCGTGTAATTGCTTTTAGTGTTTTGAGAGGAGGCAGTAGCTAAATGGCCCAGGAAGAATAGTTAACGCTTTACAATGTGATTCCTACCCACACACTAACGGTGCTGTGTTCAGATTGGAATGGTCTGCATGAGAAGTTAAGGACCAACATCTTCCAGGAAAGTACCCCAGGACCTTCGCCTTTGGATGCTGGGCTTTGGGGAATGCCTTCCAAATGTTCTTCCATCACACACCCACTGTGCATTCATTCAGCGAAGAGTTACATTCTCTTCTAGGTGCGGGGTCCTGAGTGGAACACCATGCAAACCACAGAACCAAGACCTGAATCACTGTCCATGTGGCCGAGAAAGTAGGGTTGAAAAGTTACTATGTGTAAGCCCTGTCCTCAGCTAACTGAGCATCATGGGGCAAGTTACTTTACCTCTGTGAGCCTCAATGTCCTCATGTGTGAAACAAGGACAATAGTTAACTTTTATGAATTGTTACGGGCTGAGTTGTGTACCCCCAAAATTTAGCCCTACTGCCCAATGCCTCAGAATGTGACTGTACTTAGAGGTAGGGTCTCTAAAGAGCTGTTTAAGTTAAAGTGATGCCATTAGCCTGGCCAGTGTGATTCAGTTGGTTAGAGCATAACCCCATGTGCCAAAAGGTCACCAGTTCAATTCCCCATCAGTGGCACATGTCCAACTTGCAACTCAATCCCTGGTTGGGATGCCTGTGGGAGGCAGCCGATTGATGTTTCTCTCTCATATCAATGTTTCTCTTTCTCCCCTTCTGCCTTCCTCTCACTTTAAAAAAAAATAAAAACATCCTATCTCATAAAGAGGGGATATGCTAATTGACCATCACACCCTCACAAATATGGTGATGCCCACAGCAAATGAGGGAATATGCTAATTGACTGTCACACCCTCAAAGATGGTGGCACCCAGTCCCCTCAGCCCTGCCGGGGAAGCAGGCGCCACAACACAGTTGGACCTGCCACCAGGCGGTTCTGGCCACTCTGCATGCTTGGATCTGGAGTTCCCCAGTACCCTCAGCCCTACAGCCACCCAGGGCCATCCAAGGCTCAGGTAACCAGGGCCAGCCAAGGTTTGCACTGCTGGCAGTGGCAGCAGCAGAGTTGTGATGGGGCATCACCTTCCCCTGATCACGAGGGTGGTCGCCTCCCACCCCTGAGAGTTCCTGGACTGTGAGAGGGACGCCCACCCCCGTCCAGTGCATGAATTTTCATGTACCAGGCCTCTAGTGTTTAAAATAAAATGAGATTGTTAGTTTGAACCCTGAGCCAGTCTGACTGGTGTCATTATAAGAAGAGGTTAAGACACACAGAGAGACATCATGGAAGCAAACACACAGAGAAAATGCCATGTAAGGACATAGTGAGAAGGTGGCCATCTGCAAGACTAGGAGAGAGGCCTCAGAAGAAACCAGACCTGCCAACACCTTGATCTTGGACTTCTAGCCTCCAGAGCTGTGAGAAACACATTTCAGTTGTGTGAGTCACCCAGTCTGGTATGATGTTACTGCAGCCTGAGCAAAGTGAGGCAGGGTTCTTGCACATACTAAAGCAATATCTATAAAATGGAAGATTCAGGGGGAGATCATAAATAGAGGCTGTTGTTACTATAGAGTCCTGCTCCTCAGGTGCTTAAAACCTAGTAGAAAAGACCAGAGAAAAGAACAAATGATGGACAGATGTGCTGTCCCCTGTGCTGAAGTGCACTGGGCTGTTCAGAGAGGACAGCCCCTGCTCAGGGGCAGGGGGGCTACCTGGAAAGGGGTGACTGCTTGGGCAGAGACAGGGGGACAGCAGATGAGGCATCAGTAACCACACCCTCTGCTCATGTTCTGTGCGTCTGGGTAACATACCCATCAGTTAATACCAGCCTACGGGAACTTCTCCCACCTGGCTTCATTCCCTCCACGAAAAGAACACAAAACCCAATTACTCACGTATTAATCATCGCTAAACAGGTCTCCTCTCTGGCTGCCCAAGCTGGGCCACATGTCACAGAGACAACCTCGGGTCAGGCTCTGTGCAGATCCCAAATCTAATGCATTTTGGTTTATCCGTGGCCCGTCCTAGGCTATTGCTGACCACCAAGCTCACCTGGAAATGTCTACATCACTTTGGATACAGAGGCAGGAAGCACTAACTTACAGAGAACAAATACATATTGGCTTTGATCCTAACCATTTCTGGAGATTTCATGAATATACATACGTATAAATATTTAACAACCTGAGCAATACCAAAACTACGGAAATTTTTTTTAAAAATCAACACACCCATCTTTCCACCAGACCTTCCTACTGCTCAGAGCACACAGAGGTCCCTCTGGAGGAAGTCCCACAGCTGTGAGCCCAGCCTGGGGGCCAGGAGGCCAGTGTTTCGTTTTATTTTCTTTGGGGGGTGGGGGGTGTTCCAGTTCTCTCTGGCTCTGTGTGTTAAAAACAAGGGCCCTTTAAACTCTAACAATGCAGGTGAATTCTCCTAAGGGGGTCTGCAGAGAAGTAAGTGCCTGCTGGACTTCCCTGTTTAAACTCTTTAAGACAACTGCAACCTCAGGCAGGACATTTTCTGAAATGTCACCTTCTCCCTCCTTCCTTGAGAGCGAAGCTCTGTTTCCCACCCCTTGAATCTGGGTGGGCCTGTCACTGCTCTGATGGACACGATGTGGCCGAAGTGACACAATTCTGGGCACAGGCCTGAAGTGACCTAGAAGCTGCCATTTCCTGCTCGCCAGAGCCCTGAGCCACTGCCACCATAGCAGAAACTTAGGCTGGACACATATAGTGTGTTCCCCCAAAATAAATGTATACACACTTTAATAGCTGATAGCTGTTAAATGAAATGAAATTTATTTTAATAAACACTGCCTTTATAATTACCCGAAGTATGTGGGGGAATTTTTGGAGGAAGACTCTATATATATGAGATCCTCATAAGAAGAAGTGTATGTTAGAGATTTACTTATGTTCAATAGGTGCTTGCTGATATTTGTGGAATAAATAGACGAATATCAAGATTATAACAAGACTCACATTATAACAAGTGTCCCTCACCACACTTCAGAATCCCCCGCCAGTGTATCTTCCAGATCTTAGAAGGCCACCTCTCTCCCCAGGAGGTTAAAACCAGTTAGCCTTGTCCTACCAACCAACTTACTAAGCCTGTACACTTCCCTCCCAGCTACCCTTGCAGTCTCCCAACCTGCTGGAGCTAGCCTGACATCCAGGGTCAGAACCTGTCCCAGTATCCCTGCCCCAGCCCTGGCCCAGCTCCCATTTTCAACATGGCATAAGACTTCATCTTGGACCAACTGCCAAGTCCAGAACCCTAGGTCTCCATTTCCTTTGACACCAGATGGAAACAACTCATTCCCCTTTCCTGATTTTCCTGGAGCATAGGTCAAATAGAAGATTTGTAGACCACAAGCTAGTATATCTCAGGGCCCCCTTTACCCATGACCTTCACCTGCAAAATGAGGCTCACATGGGCTCTTCCACCTCAAAGGGCTCTGGGGAACTTGATAGAAAGTGATGGCCTTAAAACTTTCTTTGAAAAACAAGAAGCACTCCATAAATTCCTTTGCTCTCATCACTTCAGTGTGATCTCAGAGATGATCTGAGGCCTCGGACTGGCCCCTGGGTAAATTCTTTCAGCACAATGACCACACACACAGAGAAAAGCTTGATGATCTTTGTGGCTCCAGTGTTACCAGCAAATGCATGTGATCTCCCGGACAGAGGCTGGAAAGTCAGGAAGCCATGAGACTTGGCACTGCCAGTAAATTAGACACATCACTTAACCTCTGGGCATTTTTCTTCATAGGCACAATGGAGCTGACAAGCCACCCACATTCCTATTCACCAGGATACCAGGAAGGCAAAGAATTTGAAAAGAGAAAACAAGTAGAAATGTGGTATTCAGTGAGCATGGAGAATTGAGAAAGAATAGATGAAAAAAATAAAAGGGGAAAAGAAACAAATAAAAGAAAGGGAGAGCATTTGGGGTGAAATGGGAGATTCTTGAGAAGGCACAGATGGACTGCCATGGAAGTTCCCAGTACAGAAAATGCACCTCAAATTGAAACTCATTGTCTAGATTAGAAGATTTATTGCAAAGGCATCGGAAGTTCAACTCCAGCTCAGCTGGCGTGGCTCAATGGTTGAGCATTGACCTATGAACCTGGTCATGGTTCAATTCCCAGTCAGGGCACATGCCCAAATTGCAGGCTCAATTCCTAGTGTGGGGCGTGCAGGAGGCAGCTAATCAATGATTCTCACTCATCATTGATGTTTCTCTCTCTCTCTCTCTCTCTCTCTCTCTCTCTCTCTCTCTCTCTCTCTCTCTCTTCCTCTCTCCCTCCCTCCCTCCTTCCTTCCCTCCCTTCCTCTCTTAAATCAATAAAATATATATTTTTTAAAAAGAAGCAGCAGCAGCTCAATTCCAGTGGAGAAAAGTGGACAAAAAGAAAGTCTGTCCATCATCTGAGGTGGCATGAGCACATACCAGAGGAATCAAGACCTGCTGCTGTTTGCTTTTACAACCCAGCTCAGAGCAAGAGAGATGAGAAATTAATAGGTCCACTGTCTGTAAAAATTGTGTAATGTCCCTAGAGAGGCCCTGGCCCGGACACAGCCTGGCCCATGAGGTCCAATTCAGGATGCTTCACTTTAAGGGAAACCTTCAAAGACTAAAGAGTTCCTAAAGTGTAACCACATAGAAACTCCATTTCTTTAACATGACCCTTACTCCTTTCTATCCATCCACTCCCTTCCTTAATCATTATGCCAGTAGGATATCAGTTTCTGGTCAGTATCAGTCTTAAGAACTATCTGTTGGCCACAGAAACAGAGTTTGGTCAAGCTAAAGATAACATCTGGATTTCAGGTGTTTTCAGCCCTAAGCCCATAAAAGGGAAAGGACCCTACAGACCACACCCTCGTGAAACAGAACACTGCAATGGCTGACACCAGCACAAGATACAATGACCAACTACTCCCTACACTGGCCCCAAGCAATCGGTAGGGCCCAGGACCCCGGCTCCTTTAACCACCAGGATTAATGATTTTCCCCTAGAAGCCATCAGGGAGCCAGGTCTTTTAGCACTAGTTTGCCTGAGACTCCAGGCCTGGCAGCATTTCCTCAATTAATAAACCTCTGCTTTCTTTGCTGCAAACTCCTGTTTGTGTTTGATGGGACTTTGATGCACACAGATGAATGGACCCCTTTAGGCCAGTGACAAAAGGCAGGGTGGCTGAGAAGGATTCTGAAACCTGAAAGCATTTCCCTAAATAAGATTAGGGGGGGACCTGAGAAGCAGAGGCT